TTATACGGTTGAATCTTCGAAAGATATAAACTTTTACCTCAAATTACTGTCATAGTTGTAATAGTGCATGCACTATAACTGGCTGCACTAGGGCTGGGCAATAGTAGCATATGAACTGAAATTAGCATGCTAACCAGCTAGTTGAATCAGTCTAAACTACTGAATGTTTTTGAAAACGATGTGTATATCATAATACATTTAACTATTGTTTTATCACACAGGCATAGGCTTTACCAAGCTTTCTAAAAATCTAGCTGTTGTTTACTATTAAACAAAAAGATCAACCATCCAAATTGGTGGCGCTAGAGATCACTTAAGTCAAATAGCTTTAACCTCTGAAAACAATAAATGTTTTTGATGTTTTGGCCATCATCCAATAGCAACACCCTGATCCAAGTGTGGCTTTTAAAAAATGTGCAGTACTTACAATGTAGAGGTAGGATGGGTAGGCGGTGCGAGGGTATCTCAAGACCCATGGAGGGCTGCCAGTCTGCATGTGAATGATGGTGGTGCCCAAGCTGTAGATGTCTGTCTTGGTGTTATGTCCTCGACACAGAACCACTTCTGGACTCATATACATCTAAAAAAAAAGAAAGATGACATAACATTTATTAGATTTAATACCACTGCAGAGGATAACAGCGAGAAAAGGTATGACGCTATTTTCTCTTTTATTGGTTTCCAATTCAAATTAAAAAAATCAATCACGTTTTATTTATGGCCTAATACCACAAATGACACATAGGCTTAAGGGGGCTTTACAATCTGTACAGCATAGGGAACCCTCTGTAGGGACTATGTATCAGTGCTAAACAAAACAGGAAACTACCTCTTGCAGTCAAATGTTTTTTTCTTTAAAAAAACAAACAAGATAACCTTTAGACCCACGCTGTGTGTGACCAGCTAATGGCAGTGCAGAAGCGTGTTGGCCTTTGGAGAGTGAAAAGTAAACACACTATCACAGTTCATCTCTGGAAATTCCAGCCTGCTTTCCCATGTTAAAGTAAGCCTGAGCAGCCCAGTGTGTTTGGTAGCTCTGTCTCTTATTATTACTGCTGGGTGTCTGCCCTGGGACTTTCCACAAGCCGAGCCTTGAGAGGCCTAGGGTGCATGTGCAAAGTCCCATATAGACAAACACACACACAGGTCAAAACATGGGAAAGCCAGGAAAATACATGACGTGAGAAAAAGCATGTGAGCAATCTCTTGGATTAATCTTAAAATGTCCAAAGTGCTGATTACATCTGTAATGAGAACCCTATGCATTGAGCAGACTATTATTAACATCAGTGAGGTCGATGAGTGCGCTGACTGTCTGCAACAACTTGCCTATCATTTGCTTTCAATCATTTTGAAAAAGACAGACACAAGTATGAAGACTGAGAGTCAAAAAGAGCGCTGCCTTTTCCAGTAAAAACCCACACTAAGGGTTAGATAGAAATACAAGTAATGATTGGACCAAGCATTTACAAAGAACAAAATACATTATGGCTTTAAGTAATTAGTATGGGCTTACAGCCTTTACGACTTAAGTTCTTACCTCAGTTCCTCTCAGGTCTCTGGGAATGTATATATCCTCTGTCATTTGCACCGTCAAGCCAAAGTCCACCAACACTGCCTTGTCTGACATCAGGACAATGTTACTGGCTGAATAAAACAGACAAAATAATAGAAATGAGACACAGCATTTTCATTGTTTATGCTTTGCTGTGCAGGTTGGCATATGAGATAATAATTATGCACTTACAGGGAATTTAACTGGGAAAAGGCCAGTGAAGTCAAGCATGGAACGTGCGTTTAGCAAAGTCTTTGATGAAAAGTATCATCATTAGACATCTCTAAGGTATAATTACATATTTTAATCTCAGGCAGGAAGCACTAAAAACCGCAGCTAGGCAGAGGGCCAGTCTGGTCGTTGTCATGAGTCACTTGCCTCTCTGGACCCTACATTTAACACTGAGCAAGCATGAGAAGCAGGCTGGAATTTCCCAACTGTCTTTAGGCCATGAGGTTGACAGCCAGCTCTGGAGAATGCTTTGATCCCTGCAGCGCCATGTGATTCAACTAACGTGAAACTACCTCACATCCTACCTCTGCTGAGCCCCACCTACTGATATTAGAATGTTTTTTGTAATCTAGATCATTAGCTACCAGACAGTGTGACATGGCTACACTTCCTCAAAACGTGTCAGTCAAATTCTATGAGGAGGAAACTCATAATACTCTGTCTATTATAGTGTGGAAGAATGTCTGTGTCGGATATGTGTGGTGTTGCACTTCTGTTCCTCAAGTATTATCCGTCTGTGGCTTGACTTTGACGTAGGGTGCGTAAAAACTGACATTACATTATTTCCTGAATGATGTGCACAAGCTTACTGCAACTCAATAACACCCGACAAGTGAGAAACAAGTTTTTTGCTCTTACGTTTGATGTCGTGGTGGATGACGTTGTGTGAGTGCAGGTACTCCAGGCCCCGCAGGACTTGCTTGGTCACCCAGATGATCTCAAACTCCCTCATGGGCCCACAGCTGTCAAGTTTTTCCAGGACCGAGCCCCCCTCTCCGGCCTCCATGAACAGGTGGACACTTTGGTCCCAGAGCACGGCGCCGTAGAGCTCAGCAATGTTCTCGTGGCGAAACCTGGCCTGGAACTCCACATCGGCTGCTCTGAAGTGCTCCATAGGGATCTGTGAAGATAATAATGTAAATATGAAATGCATCATAACAGGTCTGTCTTCTAACATGCAGGAAATCTATTGTAACTCAGACACCAAACATAATTGTGTGCCAGTAAGCCGTCACTGTGTGTTTAACAAGGTGTACAATACACTGTGTCCACATAGCATTCTCATGATAACACCAGACTGTATGACACAACTCCTTTCTCATATGTCAATATTTTTCATGTAAACACGCTGTTCACCCCCTCAGGTTAATAATGCAGGGTTAGAAAGATAATAAAAGAGTGGAATGTGTTTTGAAAGCTCTGCTGGGAAATTAGGAGTTACATCACAACATGCTGATTTATCTCTTTCATTATGAATATGACAAAAACATCCTGAGAAGCAGTGGAATCTGTTCAATTTCCATTCTTGCATTAATCTTGGTCCATTTTGTAAGTTTAGTTTGTTACAAAAATAATGGTTCTTCTTTTACTAGCTGTGTTCCTCTTTTACTTCAAGGGGAAACAAGCAGATGTCATACTGACATTAACATTCTTTGTACAAACACAGGAGTAGATGCTTGGTAAGCAGAGATGACTTGGCAAAAGAAATATTTGGCAACTATTGTAAGACTTTCGAGAAGTCAGTGCAGGCTGAATTCCAGCTGTTGCGCAGCAGGCCTCACCAGTTTGCAAGCCATTCTCTTCCTGGTGTTGGTGTCCTGAGCCAAGTGGACTTTCCCAAATGATCCCTTAGGCACAAGGCTAGTGCCATGATTCTTGTAGGTCAGCTTCCATGGAAAGAGGAGCACGTCTATGTTGATCTGGTAGCGGCCTTTTTTAACAGCCATGTCCTTCTGCAAGGTCAGTTAAGGAACAGTTATAGAATGTCCATGCACACAAATGTTCATTGTTGTTATCAAAGAAGCACAGTCAAAAGACAAAATAAGTCTTCTTACCTTGTTCAGTAGGACTCCAATCTCCTCAGGTAGATGCTGCATGGCTGCTGCCTGCATGTTGGACAGCAGGTTGACAAAAGACAAGAGGTCTGTCACTGTCCCGTACCGAACACCACCAACCCCATCATCATAGTCCTTCTGCTGACTCCCCGAGACCCCCGTCTCCTCATTTTCGTCCATCTCCTCCTGGGAGAGACTTTCCTCTTCCAACGACAAGCCTCCTTCCTCCCCGTCTTCTTCAAGCTGATAAAGAGTCTCTGCAGCGTTGATGATGTCTTCTAAATTCATGTGAGCCAACAACAATTCTAATCCATTGTCATATTTATAATCCATCTTGATGCTTGACTTGTGCTGCTCACCCTAAAAATGAAACATCAGGAGGTCAGCTGGCAGGAGGAGCACAGTGGGGAGGGGCTAACCAGGCTGTGAAGGGAGTTTCACAGTAGGCTACAGATGGGAAGCCCCCACCAGCCAAACTGGCAACTTATTTTATATCTATATAACACAGACTGCTAAGAAAATGTTGTGTCAAACAGAAAAACATGAATAATTGTTGAGCTGTGAATAAGAACCCAACTCATTCTACATGCAAATCACACACATCTTCTCTGCAAAATATTTGTTGAGAGTCATTCCATTTCTATGAAAGCTCAAATGTAAAGAAATAGCCCAAGCGACGAAGTTACTTATATGTGACGTAATGTAAAAATGTAGTCAGGATACCTGCCTAAAGAAAAGTATAGTATTTATGTTGTATATCTTACAGCCAATCTGTAAAGTTAGCTGCTATTTGGTAACTAAACAACGTGTTATTGATAACGCCAGAGATATGGAAAACTTACCGTAATAATCTTTGAAACGGAAGCTTTAAGTGCCGCTCCTCTCTTCATCGTCTCGAGCGTCTGACTGACTGGAAGGGGACGGACGGTGTTAAGAAGGAAGTAAACAGAGGAACTGCATTCGACCGGTGCGTAGGAGGAGGTATTCGCTGAATGTCATTTGCCAGAGCATTACTCTCTGTAGGTTTCGTTTTCCCTTTCTTTTGTTTTCTCATACGAAAAACAAATTTCATGTGGCTAGAATGCTGAAACAGGGCATCAACTTCTACAGAAATGTTGGGTGTTTTCCTGTGGGAAAAAATGTTTTGTTGCTTTATGTAAAACTTTGAATACATCCTAACAGCAATATAACACTCGAACGATTAAATGCATCAGTCATAACTTAATTAGAACAAATTAAATGTATTAATCTAAAATGATATAGCTTACTACAGTGGAATTATGACACATCAAAAATACATGTATTACTCAGACATATTTTAAACGTCACAATATGTGCGATTTTGGTACCTCTCTGTTGCCGTAGATAAAACCATGCGCATGCGCATTTCCCCTTCTTTTGGATCAGCAATGGCGTCCTTCTTCAAGATGTGCAGGTTACATACGATAGGAAGAGGCAGCGTGGTGAAGTGCCTACAGAAGGTCGATACATTTCTTCACAGGAATATTGGAACAAACGTTGTTGCTGTGCAAGGTGAAACACGAGTTATTAACACAAGCTGTCTAACCAAGTTAGCCTACGTGAAAGCCCTGTCTCCCGTGTAGTGACTCCTATTCAAACTTTATTTAGAAATGTGTATTTTTTAAGTTGTCTTTGCTATGGTCTCAAACTCGTAATTGTGTTAATTGAAATGAACAACTGAGGGAATCATTAGGGTCTCGGCTAAATTCGGGATGTCGTTTGTCCACCAAAGTCACCTCTCTGTCAGGTGATTCTAGCTTTCATTTCATATACGATCATATTATAGATGCTGGGTCCGTGTACGTTTTGTTAGTTTGATTTTTCGTTTAAACCAAAAGGCAAAAAACGAAAATACCAGCCTTTTTTCGTTTTTTATTTAAAACGAAAAAACGGGAAACCAAAGCCGTTTTTCCGTTGTTGTCTGAATCAAAAGACGGATAACGAGAAGACCTAATTTAAAAAAAGGTCCGTGTACGTTTTGTTAGTTTTGATTTTTCGTTTGAACCAAAAAACGAAAATACCAGCCGTTTTTTTGTTTTAAATCAAAAACGAAAAAACGGGAAACCAAAGCCGTTTTTCCGTTTTTGTTCCATACTTTGTATGTTGTATGTGTCAGGGTGTTATGCTACAGGTCCATGAAGACAGGCCCCACAGTGAGTTCAGGATGAAGTGTTGCTACTGTCTTGGTTACCGTCCGGTTAAACATGTTCCTGGGGATTTGGCTCATTTTAGACGGGTTAGACACAGCCAATAGTAAAACATAAACTTTAATATAACTAGCACAAGGTAGCTACTCCCCAGAAATTGACTGACTGGTCTGTGTGTGCTGCACAGAGGTCACAGTTGTGTTTTGTTCCTGTTCTTCGTTCATAGTATAAAAGTAAATCAATTCATATCAGTATGTATAAGAAGTTGTAAGTAGAAAACATTTAGGAAAAAATATATGACTTCTTATTTACTCCTTAAAATAGCACAATGTTATTAAACCAAAATGTTACCCTAAAAGAAATAATACAAAGCAAACTGAATACGTATTTATTTTGTTTCTCTTCTTACAGGTGGGGCTGAAAGACTCGACCCCCGTTGAGCTGGAGCATCATGGCTGCAGGTGTGAAGTGTGTTACTCTCCTGCTCCAGTCACATGACTCCCAGTGGGTTCCCAGTACTCAGCTGTACAGAGCAGCAGTGGTACAAACCAATAACTATGGCAAGTCTGAGAATAATGTCATTAAATACTAAAACTACACACTCATCATGTCTCATCATTTCTATATCTTGCTTAAACCCAGTGTGTAAAACCAGGCCCGGTAGAGCACATGGCTGGGATGTCCGCAATCCAAAGCAGAGAACAATGTCAGAGAAAGTAAAGTGAGAGATTAGTAGTTATGTGAAAGTAAGCTATGCACACAGAATAGTTTATGTGCTGATGTCTCTGAGAGCTGAGAGGTGCTGGATCTGTCTGCCCTCAAAGTGCCAGGGATCTACAAGGACTTCACTGCTGCTTCTGCACCATAGGTATCCCTGTGAGGTGCCAAAAAAGCTGTATCAGTTTAAGTGTACGTTATTTAATGCTAAATATAGCGATTTTTTTCAGATGGGCCTTCATTTTCGTCCTCAGCAGTACATGGCTCTGCTCCTGTATGTTTCTCCACTGGTCTACTGTAGGTAATACACTGATTATGGATATATACCACATACTACCCCACTTCAAAAGACCAGAACTATCCCCTTAAGGGCAGCTGTTGATGTTCACAACAACAAAAAACGCATGCAGATGGTTGTAGTCTGTAGCCAGCCAGTGGTAGATCTGGCCGTGGTGGAGCATGGTGGTGGGCAGCGGTGTGACTTCTAGCTGTCATGGTGATGTTCATATGACAAGGGGACTGCCAGCTTGAACTTTACAGAGAGCAGAGTCCACTAGTGGCACCTCACAGGATTACCTATGGTGCAGAAGCAGCAGTGAAGTCCTTGTAGATCCCTGGCACTTTGAGGGCAGACAGATCCAGCACCTCTCAGCTCTCAGAGACATCAACACATAAACTATTCTGTGTGCATAGCTTACTTTCACATAACTACTAATCTCTCACTTTACTTTCTCTGACATTGTTCTCTGCTTTGGATTGGGGACATTCCAGCCATGTGCTCTACCGGGCCTGGTTTTACACACTGGGTTTAAGCAAGATATAGAAATGATGAGATGGTGTGTATGAGACATGATGAGTGTGTAGTTTTAGTATTTAATGACATTATTCTCAGACTTGCCATAGTTCTTGGTTTTTACCACTGCTGCTCTGTACAGCTGAGTACTGGGGACCTACTGGGAGTCATGTGACTGGAGCAGGAGAGTAATGGCGCGTTTCCACTACAGCCCGCAGCCCGGTTTAAGAGGGCTGTGACGTCAGCGGCCTGTCTTTGGTTGCGTTTCCACTTGGCCTAGTACCGGCCGGCGGGTCCTAATTCACAGTTTTTCTGGCCTCATAAAATCGTGGGTCCAGGGCCAGAGACAACGAGGCTGAGTCGGGCTGAGTATGCTAAACTAGAGAGAGCGTCACTGGCAAGGGGGCAACAACTACAACAAGATGGACATATTTGACCGTGATTTAATTGTAATACACGTTTCAAAATGATGCCGAAGTAACAACATACTGATACCGGTTAGTAAAAACCATGAATTAATGCTTTGTCAAGTCTGCAGACAGACGGCAGGGGAAAAACCTTTTAAAATGCTTGTTTTCTAAATGGAGATTGGCTAAGCTAACGCAGTATATGCTCCGACCGTCTACACTCACAACAACGGCCTATACAGACATAAATAAAGCAGCGACTGTATTCGCCATGACACAGGCAGTCTGTGGTTTGTACTTGTTTAACTTTTGTCTAGTTTCTGAACATATATGAGGAGCTGTGAGCTCTGAGTGCTAACAGCTAACGGCTGTGTTGTTTTTCTGGGGTCCTCTGAAGATCACGTCACGGCTCCGCCTACACTGCGTTACTATAGATACTGCCCCAGTTCCTAAACTGTAATGGAAATGCGCCATAAAGTGAGCCAGTCCTAACGAGGCCCAGCCATACCGAGCGGGGCCGAGCGAGGCCGTGTAGTGGAAACGCGCCATAACACACGTCACACCTGCAACCATGATGCTCCAGCTCAACGGGGGTCGAGTCTATCAGCCCCACCTGTAAGAAGAGAAACAAAATAAATACATATTCAGTTTGCTTTGTATTATTTCTTTTAGGGTAACATTTTGGTTTAATAACATTGTGCTATTTTAAGGAGTAAATAAGAAGTCATATATTTTTTCCTAAATGTTTTCTACTTACAACTTCTTATACATACTTCTTCTTCTTCGAGTCCGTAGCAATCTCAGATGTCGTTCTGCCAGTATCGGGCACAGGCCACAGCTGATGGGGTAGGTTCTGCCAGGTCTTCTGGACTGCACCGGGGGGCATCGGCACATTCCAGTAGGTGGGACATTGTCTGCACTGATCCACAGCTGCACGTGTCTTCTGTGGTGTAGTTCCACACTTTCATCAGTGCTTTGCACCTCCCCTGTTCCACACGCAGTCTATTAAGTGACTTCCAGGTTGTCCAGCCAAGGTTGTGGCCACTAGCGAGGCTTTCCGTTGGTGTGATTCCTCTGTCCAGCCATTCAAGAGCTCGTGTGTCATGTCTTTGCCATTCATCTTCCCAGATGTTGGTCCTTGCTGCTTGTTTGGTTGTCTGGAGGTGTAGGACTGTCTGCACAAACCTGGCTCTGGATCGGAGCCTGCGTGGGGGTGCTATGTGGCCATGCAAGGGGTGTCTGATGTCTGTCTCCTGTGTTCTCCGTTCATCTTGAGCGATACCCAATCGTCTGATGTGTGGGGGAGAGATGCCGGCTAGCGTATAGAGGCACGGGACAGGTGTTGTCTTAACGCATCCCGTGATGATGCGGCAGGTGTCATTCAAGGCTGTGTCGACCAGTTTGGTGTGACGTGATCGGCTCCAGCTTGAGCAGGCATACTCTGCTGTAGAGAAACACAGGGCCATGGCAGTTGCACGGATTGTTGGTGGATCTGCGCCCCACTTGGAGTTCACTAGTTTGCGCAGGATGTTGTTGCGGGTGTTGATCTTGGCTTTAGTGTTCTCCAGGGCCCTTTCTCATGTCTTCAAATGTTCCTCCTCGACTCCTATCCTCGAGACTTAGTCCCGCCCACAGGAGATGCGAGCGGAGGAGCCGAGGAGGGGAACCGAGGAGAGAGGAGGGGAAGCAGCAGGTGGTTAGAGAAATGAGAACTCCTCTCCTCTGAGTGGTCATATTAAAGAGACGTCCGTTAATTATGACAGGAGGCACAGCAGCCCTGTGTCTGATGGACAGATGTGTTCATGACGACTTATATATTTACTTTTAATTCATTCACAGTGCGGTATAATGAGACAATAACAGGCTACAGATGCGGACATACACACAGACACACACACACACATATATGTATATATTTATATAAATATATACAATTTCAGAATCAAACAGAGCACTCTCATAATAACGTAACACTATCAGAGACTGGATATATCCCCCCCCCCCTCTCTGGTCGCTACAATGAGGGAAATAAATGACGGGCCAAAAGTTGTATTTACAAGTATTACAAGTAAGCAGAGGACACCAAACCAACTGAGACCTGTCTGTCCGCTGCATCTACGCACACACTGTACCACACACACACGCACCTACATCTCCTAAAGCATATAATCAGGCTACAGCCGTTGTGTATTTTATTATGTGAAGCACTAAATGGTTTTAGAAAAATATCGACTTTGTTTGTAGATATCTACTAAACTAAAGCAAATAAAGAGAGTAGGCCTGTTATACTGAGTGATATGATATATATTATACACACTGCTCTGCTTTCTGCACGGACCTCACAGCTGTTCTCACTGTAAACATCGCGTCGCGATGAAAGCAGTTAATAAAATAATATCCAGGGGATGCATGCAGAGCTGTCATTGGCTGAGATAAGTCACTTCTTTCACTTCACTAATCTTTCCGTCGGTTGAACCTCCTGCGGAATGGGACGGTGGTTGCTTGGAGAGCGGATCTAACGGTGATGGCAATTGGCCGGTATGGGGGATAGGGTCCAGGACTTCCTTCGCAGTTCTGGATGCAATGTCACTGCTTACGCATGCGAGGTCTGGGTTGTATCCTCGTTTCCACCTGGCGCTGTGGATGGATTTGGGTAGTTTAGCGTTATGGATTAGGGTCAGGTGCAGCGTTATGGATTAGGGTCAGGTGCTTGGACTCAAGCCAGGTCTCAACTTCATCTCCATCTTGGTTGTTGTTCTCATAGCCCCATGATGTACTGTGGGCATTGAAGTCGCCGATGCTGATATGGAATCTCCTCTTGCATCTTTCTGGTAGTTCTGTGTACAGAAAAGGGGTTGCGGGTGGTTTGTAGACTGATGTGACAATACTTATACATACTGATATTAATTGATTTACTTTTATACTATGAACGAAGAAAAATAACTCTTTAACAACAGAACAAAACACAACTGTGACCTCTGTGCAGCACACACAGACCAGTCAGTCAATTTCTGGGGAGTAGCTACCTTGTGCTAGTTATATTAAAGTTTATGTTTTACTATTGGCTGTGTCTAACCCGTCTAAAATGAGCCAAATCCCCAGGAACATGTTTAACCAGACGGTAACTAAGACAGTAACAACACTTCATCCTGAACTCACTGTGGGGCCTGTCTTCATGGACCTGTAGCATAACACCCTGACACCTACAAAATACAAAGTATGTTCATTAAGAATGCACATACTGTCCCTCCTCTGTCTTTCAATGTAGTCAAACTTGTTGAAGAAAAACAATAAGTTTAACGTTACAGAAATAAAAGCTTAATTACTCACCCTCCTAATTGTAGACGTAACTTCATAAGTACAACTTGAAACATTTCTCCCGCTTGCTGTTGGGTGCAGGTGAAAGTAGGTCGACATTTCTGTTTACATCGCTGACATTTGTCACAGGTCAATCTTGCAGGTATGCAACAAATATGACGTTGTCACACACCGACAAGCTGGACACTGGATTTGCCGACACAGTACAAACCGGAAGTCAGCGAAATAAAGTTATGCAAAGAGCTTGCATACTTGTATTCTCCATAAACGCATATCTGCATGTGAATGCAGAAATAAACGTATCCTCGTCAGACTTCTGGGTTCCAGGATTGAACTTTTACAGCATTGCCATTATATCCTTGTGTCTTTTATTTTTAAATATGTTCTTTAACTTCCGGTCCACCAGACTGCTTTTCTTCATTCTTCAATACAAAACGGAAAATTGAATGAAGTTGTTACCAAAAACCAAAACCGGACTGTTTTTTTAATTAGGTCATCTTGTTATCCGTTTTTTTTATTCAAAGAAACAAAAACGGAAAAACGGCTTTGGTTTCCCGTTTTTTCGTTTTTGATTTAAAAGGAAAAAAGGCTGGTATTTTCGTTTTTTTGGTTCAAACGAAAAATCAAACTAACAAAACGTACATCTACCATGCTGCTTTGTGGATGATTTATATGCCGAATTGAAGAGTTGTTTTCAATATGTAACAAGACGTGCTATGTGATGCATGTGATTTGTGGCTTCCTTAAATATTCAAGTGCCACATACTGTAAAATTGTCATTTTTTAAATTAAGTTTGGCGCTGCGATCTGTTGCCATTGAAGTCCACACTTGTTAGACAAAAAAGTGCAAGTATTTACCAGATAATGCTGCAAAGTCCTTATGACAACAATGACAATAATTAAGACTACTGAAAATGATTGTTGTGGCTTCATTGTTGAATATTCTGTTTCTCTATTTTTAAGAAGAAAAGAATGGATTCAAATCTTTGTATGCTGTCCAGGCAGAGAGACAAGAACAGGCAGAGAGATCTGTTCTCATCAGCTGCCACTCAATGACGAATGAGAAAAGGTTCCTCGAGTATTTAGCAAATTACGGAGATATCCAGAAATACTTCTTTTATGTAAGTGAATCACTAATCTCCTCTTATAAATTAGCATTGTTTTCCAGCATACATGACCAATTTACTGTTAGTTTTTATTTGAAACATGACATTGTTTGTATTGGTGTTCTTCTATAGGGAATTTATGCCGTGGTAGAATTTGCCAACAAGGAAAGTATTGCCTCATTGTTTGAAGGGACGGCCATCCCTAGCATCGGAACGGAATCCATGATGCCTTTTAAATCAAGACTGCTGTCAATGAGGAACCTCGACTCAGTGGATTTACGGAACCAGCCAAAAAAGCACCTAGCACAACAAAGCATTCCCATCAACGAGCTCATACAGAGACTGTCCAAAGAAGAAAGTGTAAGTGGTTCGGTTATCACTCCCAGATTTACAGTTTGGAATAATCCAGTGATTCAACTTTAAAGACATATACATTTGTGAATCCATTTTAATGGATTCACAAATGTATATGTCTTTAAGGATTATTCTAACCATACCTTGTGATTTTATTTCCTCTCAGATAGACCAACAGATAACCTCCCTGACAGAAGCTCATCAGCTAACAGAGGAGAGCTGCCGACTGCGCTTCCTCGTCTGCTCTCTGCTCAAGGACATTGTAGCTCCTTTTTTCCCAGAATGCACCATCAAGCCATTTGGCTCATCAGTGAATGGCTTTGGAAAGCTGGGCTGTGACCTGGACATGTTTCTGGACCTGGATGGCATCAGTGGGAAAAATGCAACAATGGTAATAATGGGAGTTTGGGTGTCGGCCTTTAGAAAGACGCCTATAGAGTGCATGAAGTCCAAAGCCACCAGCTGACAATGTTACATTTATTTTGCCCGACATACACATTGTAGTTTACAAAAATTGTAACTTGTTAAAACCTGGTTATACAATCTTGAATAACGACAAAGAAATGTGTAAGCTGACAACACATGTAAGTATTTTAGTACCTACTAATACTGATATAGTGCATATTGAGCCAGAGAAGTCAAAGCACCTCTTTCTACTTCAAACAGATAGGCCTTTATAAAAAAGTGAAACTGCTACCACAATCATTTGCCAGTTTTGAGAGAGCTGAGTTCTGCGGAGTGAAACTGAAGACCGTTGTGAATGGCAAAGACCAAAAAGGAAATCAACCAGCAAACTCAGCATGTCTGCATAAAGCTTTTCCTGGAAAATTAAACTATGATACTAAATGAATGTGTTCCTAGTAAAGGATATACAAAAGTTCAGTTAATGATGCTTGGAATTCCTAAATTATATTACATTAGTAGAGCTATATGTATGAAAAGTATCATCATTTGGAATTATGTGGTATTTTATGAGGAACTTGCTTGAAAAAATCTGAGTTGTTTAACTTTTAGGTCATTGATTATTTTCCACCTTGTTATCAAGTTGAATTACATTAAAAAGGAGCATTAAAGAAAGAATAGATGCAACAATGGTTAAACACCCGCGTTATGCATTTGTAACCAGTATGTAAAGACTAAAACAAATGTATCCATCTACACTCATAACTCTAGGCTGGTGTATTAAAAGGAAAATAATGACATTATTATTGTTGACTTCTTGTAGGTTATTGCTCACTTAGAAATGTCAATGTATCAGCATAGAACTACATCAAAGTATGTTACAAATAATTTAATACATTTTTATATGCTACATGAAGTCTAAATAAGGTTTTAAAAGCACGTTGTGTTTGTGCTTGCTATGTATACTACAATAATTTAAAGAAATGTTGAAACAAATAAGATGCTATAAAGTAAAAATAGTGACCTGTCTAAGAAATTGATGGTGATTTAAGATCATTAAACATATTTAAACTCTGTGTGCAGCCAAAATCCGGTCTGTTCCTGGAGTACCAGATGAAGGCGGCCAAGTCTGAGCGGATCGTCACCCAGAACATCCTGTCCGGCATCGGGACGTGCATGGACCTGTTTGGACCCGGGTGTGTCGGTTTGCACAAGATACTAGATGCACGCTGTCCCCTGGTCCGTTTCACCCACCAGCCCTCTGGCTTTCAGTGTGACCTCACAGCCAACAACAGGTACTCACCCTGTGCACCTTTACTAGGAGATAACCTGTTTTCCATACATAAACACTATGAAACAATTGTTCGTCATGGCTCTGGGGTTGCAGTGGTTCATTTAAAATGATTCGGTTTCACACTACTATTGGTCATATCTTGAAAGGTCAATTATACTTGCTCATAGGCCTCTGTCTTCACAGAAACTGCTATTTCGTTGTCGTCCTGATATTGATTTGGCAATACTGGCCAAACAGAAACCTGACTCCGGCAGGAAGTGCTGTGAGGGTACAGTTGCACCCCTGCCGGAGTGAAACTGAACATGAAGCTTAAAAGGGGGGCTTGTTTGTGTTTCACTTCCTCCCTGTGGCCTTCCTACCAATGATAACACAAACACCTACACACCTGCTAACGTACAGAAAAACCGCTCTGCAGTTTCTAAGGAAATGGAGGGGAACCATCAGAGGTGGTGGGTGGATGTGAGGGGGACTTTTCTTATATTGTGCTGGCAGATCTTTCAAGCGCAGCTCTTTCCTGCCTGAGGTTTCTGTGTGCGTGTGTGAAGGGAAACCAACAGCAGTGTGACTGACGCAGCCACTATGACAATCTGAAGGCTGCTCCCTAGTGGTGCTTTTCATATGATTTCATTTTCACTGACCCTTGACATTAAACAGTATTTTATCTCATGAACTTGGGAGGTAGAGAGGTTTTGGAATACAAATATATGCAAAATATGTGGACAAATACTGGGACCTAATGTCATGAAGATAAGGATTGGACTGGCATTAAGAGGTTCATACTGATGCTTTCCTAGAAATCTACTGAAAGAAAAAATTGTGCAACGTAAAAATATTGGTTAAGAGCATTAAAATTATCTTTTCACAAAAATAGTACATATTAAACACCTATATTATCATAAGGATTGACATCCTGAAACACATAATTATCTGTAGGTAACCCATTGACAAATCCACTGGTTTAATAGCAATACAACCAGCCAAAAAGTCAGTCATAAATACACTGTATATATGACTAACTTTTTGGCTGGTTGTATCGCTATTGGACAGAATTTTGTAATATACTGTAACGGTATATTACAAAATTCTGTCCAATAGCGATACAACCAGCCAAAAAGTCAGTCATATATACAGTGTATTACAAAATTCTGCACGATATTGTTTATTTCCTTAATTTATTTCCTGTTTAATATACTTAATTTGTTGGTTATTGATGGCAGCATGTCCTATTTCGATCAGCAAGACGCTGAACTTCAATCCAAATACAACAATGCAAAAATACAATGTATGAAGTGCACTTGTATTGGAAGTCTCAACACTGATATCAAAAGAGCCCCATCAAAACATGCAGTAGTAGTAACTTTGTGTGTTCTCCACAGGGTGGCGATGAAGAGCACAGAGCTGCTCTATCTGTACGGAGAGCTGGACCCACGGGTGCGTCACCTGGTGTTCACCGTGCGCTGTTGGGCTCAAGCTCAAGGCATCACCAAAAGCATCCCCGGGGCCTGGATCTCCAACTTCTCCCTCACCGTCATGGTGCTGTTCTTCCTGCAGAGGAGGAACCCCCCTATCATCCCAACCCTGGAACACCTCAGGGACCTTGCAGGTACCACCAAGCACTTCTTCTCACTGATACCTCATTCACACCAACGCAACTCCGGTTCAAGCTCCGAGCTAGAGCTTTTCAGGTTCAGTACCGGTTCTTCGGTTTAGCTCCGGCTCTTTTCACACCGCCCAGAGTCCGACTGGTGCTGCGTCATTGCGTCATGACATAACCGTTTGCTTGCCTGCTTCATAAAGCCAAACCGTGCGGAAACCCCTCACAGCTCACACCGACAACAACAACAATGGCAGATTGTGTTGAAGCGCTACTCCGGAGTCATTTCTGTGGTTTAGACTATAGTCTTATAAAAAAGTGCATACACAAATAAGCTGCAACGTAACCACAACATGTTCACCCCTACCAGCCAAGCAAGCCGTGGTTGTCCTGCTGGAGGAACATGATCTAATTGTATCATGCCTATCCTTTTTTTCAATAAAATCAATGGATCAGACATATGACTATTGAATTTTGTTTATTGTACTAATCAAAGACATGTATGGACAATAATTCACAAAAAAGTGTGGCGAATATACTATAATAATAATGTGTATACACGCCGACGGTAGTGGTGGTTCCGACACCGTATGCTCCAAACCAGATATGTCTGTAAACACAATATAAACACAATGAATCATAAATCGTTAGTGAGAAGAAAGAAGATACATTGGAGGCTTTAGCTGTCTTTGCCATGGGGATACCTTTGTTTATTATTGTTAGCATTAGCATGCTAGCGCTATTATTGGTTTGGATGCACATCCGGTAGCTGTAGTAGGACAACTTTAGCTTTATTGCCAGGTCTGTCGATAGTTACATGGTGTAGTTTATGTTGTAAAACAAAAAGTCACAAATAAAACAAATGGGTATAACTCACCGGGATCAAATGAGCTCCGCACATTCATCGAGTCGTCCTGCAACATAATCGACGTGAGAGAAAGCGAGTTCACCGTGGTTCCAAAACCACTCGTCGGTCTGTCCCCGAGGACCGTGTTTAGCAAGTCATAATGTGGACTTGTTTTCGGACAACCGCTACCACTCCGTCCGAGGTCTCGCTTTTGGTCCCGATAGTCCTTCTTGACTTTTTTTAATTTGTTGCCAATCTGTTCCACGGTACGGTAAAAACCAGCGTTTGCCATCTCTTTCTGCAATTGTTGGAGAATTGCTTTGGACCGCGTGCTCCCCTCCAGCTTCCTCTGTACCTCTTCGGAAGACCAGATTCCCAGTAGGTAGCTGGTCTCTTCAGTGGACCACTGCTGCTTGTTAAGTTTCTCCATCGTTGCGTACAAACTGGATAAAACGCAGGTTTTTTGTTGTTGTTCAGGAGTTGATCCCGCCCCTGCCCCCGCCTCGACGTAAGCGTGACGTATGCGGTGCTTTTGCTCTAGCCGGACAATTTTTTGGTGCTTGAAACGAACCGGATTCCGGAGCTAAGAGGCTGCTCCGCTGCGGTGTGAACAGGAAAACCCGGTGCTTTTCAAGCTCCAGCTCCGCACCGGCCCTGAAACACCGTTGGTGTGAATGAGGCATAATGCCTCATTCACACCAACGGTAGTAAACATCATGTCAGTTTAAAGCAGAGGGTTCCTTTGTTTGTTATCAACGTTTTGTTGCCCATTCTATCCACAATTTATGAAAAAATTACCTGAAAACCTGACAAAGAAACTTAAGTGAAATCTCTTCTTCTCAACTAAGTCCACACGTTAATGTTGTGTTTTTTTTGTCATACATTTAACTTATTTTATTTTTTCTTCGAAGAATAACTTAACCACTAAGTATACTCAAGTAAGGTGAGCTTTCATCATACAGTGCAGCTGCGGTCTAAAGGTATTTTGACTTGCGAGCCCTAAAAATGAAGCCACTTAGGACTTTCTCACATTTGTGTTTACCAGTAACGTTCTTCCCTCTTTTTCAAGATAAAGTAATCTAATAATTCATAGAAAACAAAACATTAAGGAAATTATAAAGGTATAAGATGATGTAGCATAAATGATTCTTTCCTATCCTGTGAACAGGTCAGTAACCCCACTGATCTGTAGAGTATCTTAGCTCTGACGTAAGATTAGACAAGATAAGATATAGACCTTAATTGACCCCCGTAGTGAAATTCAGGTGTTATAGCAGCAGAATAAGAGAGACGCACAGGAGATAAGAGTTCAAACAAGAATTAGGAGAATACAAAATAATGGTAAACATGTACAGTATGTTACAGTATCAATAAGAATAATATAGGGTAAAACATTGAATTGCCGAACTTAATTATATATACTGATATCAGTGAAATGTCTTATGTTCATACAGTGCAATTTGTTTTTAAATAAGTGTCTGCTGTTTTATTTATTCCTACAATCTAATTCCTTTTGGCTCTGTAGGTGACTTAATGTCATATTTCAAATCACCATGCATACAACTGTAATAAATGTCTCCTGTGATCATTTAACCACCAGTCCACTGCAGTTCCTCCATCCCCCCCCCCTCCCTCTGTCACCTTGGCTGCCTTGATAATTGCCTTCCAAAAGCAATCTACCCCCCATCCCTCTCCTCCACCCCCTCCTCCTCTGCCCCGTTTAGCGCAGACTCTATCACACAGAGTGCTTACAGTACAATAAAAAGCCCATCTCTGTGTGAAGGTCGATGACCCCGCCTCTGCCGGACACACACGCACGAGCATACAGGCAGCTATTTAAACAGTGGTGTAACACAGACTAGACAGCACCACCTGCAGTCTTACTGTAGTGAAGAATACTGTTAACTAGGGCAGTGGTGGAGCCAAGCAAGGACACGATCTAGGCCCCCTTTTTTTTCTCTGCTTTGACCATCTTTGACACGCATGTACACACACCTGCTCCCCCTACTGTGTCTTACTGTTACCTCTCCACGAACACACTTCCACCATCTGTCTATGTCTTGTTTATGGCCATCATATGCGTGTAAAGGCAGTCATTTAACTTGTGTCCCCGATCTCGTCCCACAAGGTCCCGAGGACAAGAGCGTGATCGAGGACAACGACTGCACGTTTGTCAGCGACTTCAGCAAAATCCAGCTCGAGAGCAACACAGAAACACTGGGTGAGCAGGAGAGCGTAGAAACCAGGCTGTAGGGCTACAGCTCAGTTTGATTTATACCCTTGTTTCTGTTTGCTGCTTACTTGACTTTTTTCTTGCTTTTTTCTTAGAGCAACTGCTGTGTGAGTTCTTTGAGTTCTACGCCTCCTTTTCCTTCAAAACGCTGTCAATCAATATCAGAAAGGTATGTATGATTATTCACATTCATTAAGTCCGATGTAACAAACGTGGCCCAATTATGATAATCAGCTTTACAGGGCTCTATATTAAGTTTATGTGTATTGTTAAGCACTTAGATTGATCAGGCGGACACAAACATGACTTCAAATGAAGGATAATGTTGCTCCAGCAAATCAAATTTAAAGGTGATAAAATATATCCTTGTTATGGTTCAGCTATTTAAGGTTTATGCCCACATTTTAACCACTATTCAGACATGTATTGTTGGCCATACACAACAGTTACAAAGGTAACCCTGCTAGTTTAGAACTAGTAACAATGTTGTCATACTTTCAACTGAGTACATGTCTGATTTGAATGCTGTCGGCTTAAAATAAAGTCAGCATCAGCACATAAATGGATAGATAAATATGTTCAAAGAGAAACAAAACATATTTTTGCCTTAATATGAATACTGTTTTAAACGTATCACTCGAGCATAATCTCTTTTCACACAAAAATATTAAATAAACCAGGAAACAACCAACTGTGATTGAGCTCATTTATGTTGTTGAGGAGATTCCCTCACAGTTTAGGAAGAATAAATGTTAAAAAAAAACATCATACAGCAGCAATAATAATCAGACTGGTGTTCCTTCACCAAATGTAATATATGTTATATTAATTTCCTTCCATCATGCACAGGTCACCTTTGTCTGAATGACAATAAGCGGTCACTTACAAACAACAAAAACAGTGTGTTGTCTGATAATGGCTCTAGTCTCTCTCTTGTGGACTTTGTAACTGGGAAGGAGCTGCTGTTATTGTCACCCAAGCTGTGATTCCATACCAAATATCAAAGATTTGTTTGATTTACTTCAAATACTGTCAAAGTTATTAAGTTTGTCCACCAGAGAGCAGAGTATTCTTTAAAATACCACATTAGAGGGATTGCGATCAAAGTGGTTTGTGTGTGTGATGTGTATGTGCTAAAGAAAAAGGACATAACTATATGTAGTTTTAAGTTTAACTGCCTTGAAAATCCAGTACCAATCAAGCTCTACTTACTATAAGTTCCCGCCAACCCTAAGTCCATCTTGCAACTTGGATGACTTATAATTTAACTTCAAAATCCAATGTTGCATCACTGAAAAACCAGAACATAAATAAAAATCTTTTCAAAAATAACACACCCTGCTCAGCCTCCTTTCAACATGAGCTCACAGCCACAGAGCTGAGCTCCAGCAAAGAAATCTGTTGGTAATAAAGTCAGTGTTTGGTGCATGGCATCTTCCCACACACACAGATGACAGCTGTCCTTGTCAAAAATGATTGATGCCAGCCCCACAGGGCCCGGCGCCCTTGAGCTGCGATCCCAATTAGGAGCTCCATCAGGCTGAGTGTAAACAAACGCATATTCAATATATGTAGAGCCACATTTCAGTCTGTTGTTGACTGTGTAATACTTTTTACAGGCACTGAAAGAGCATCCACAATGGAACTTTTTATAAATAAAATGCGTAGGAATGATTAACATAAAAGGTACTATTTTTCCAACTTTAAAACCTACCTCCTAGAACATTTAATAATATCCTATGTATCATCTATTACTTGTACCCCTAGAATTGTATTTGATAAAGTAGGTGTTAATGCTTGGGTGGCACATTATATAAGATGCAGGGCTACGCTTTGGCTGAGAATTTAATGGATGCCTCTGGAAAAGAGACCCTGGAGCTTAATATATGAGACTAATATCAAGTTTGACACCGCATAAGAAACCTGCAGGTAAACTGCAGCCGTGACCCGTACCTATAGGCTTTCACCAGTGGAGCAACAGCCATAAATCTCCTTTACTGTGCTACAATTCTCCAATTCGCTCCCATTCTCTGACTGATAGCTTTATGTCGCCATCGTCTACCCCCCCCCCCTCCACAGCTCCATCACTTTTTCCTTCCAGCCCCTTTACTGTCACACTTTAAGCTGGGTATGGCATGCAAAGTACCATGGGAGGGTCTTGACTTTTCTCTGACCCACATATTGAGGGTTCATTTGATGGCCATGACTGCTAGATAGAGGATCAGATCATACATGTTTCCGTTGCTAACACATTTGATGTGTCTAGCAGGTTTCCAAAGCAGTTAGCTCATTCCCATTCTTCACAACTCAAGTCGAAATGTTTTCCAGAGCCAGTTCCATGCCTATCCCATGTGGTAACCTGCTGAGAGGCGTTCCAGTCAGCTATATGTTCCACAGATAAAGCAGCAAAGACCTATAAGCATGACCAATATATGGACCATAAAATACAGGACTGCTGCTACTGCTCAAGAGTGTGTATTCATCTGCCGGCCTTGTCCCATTCCTCCTCTCCAGGGCAGAGAGCAGAACAAGCCTGTGGGAGACCCGCTGCACATCCAGAACCCGTTTGAAACCACTCTGAACGTCAGCAAAAACGTCAACACCACACAGCTAGGCCGCTTTGTGGCTTTGTGTCAGGAGAGCTCATGGCTGATCCAGCAGAATAAAACCGCCCCATCCAGAGGTGATACTGAAGGAAAGGCTACTATCACACTTTGGGGAGTATCTAACCTCCTTCTGCCCTCCCAGATTGAAGAGGTCAAACGCAAGCAAAACAGTAGCAAGAAACAGAAATTCGAGCCGACGAACCAGTGGATCAAGGACATGCTGAAATCCATGAAGGCTACCAACAATCAACAAAATCAAAGTTAAACTCTTTGAGGTCGCAGAAAACAGCTCCATCGTTTTACTATCACTTCAGCTAATGCATTGGTCAACTCCACCGTTTGGTGTACTTTTCTGGTGCCTCACTGAGAAGGCGAGGAGCAGCTTTAGCAGTTGATTTCATCTGCTGGACTGTGCTGGACAAATGTTCCAAACGTTGACACTGGAGGGTGTCACTGAGGCTTGTATGTGCATATATTTGGGCCTGCAAAAAGGGAGTTATTACTATGTACTATACTGTGAACTTCCCTACTCTGTTGTAATTTAAGCAATTTGTGTGTGAACTGATGCAAATCCCTCCAGACGCTCTTTGGAACAAAAACTACCCTAACATTTGAATATATCTCAAACAACAAAAATCATTATGGATTTATTTATTTTGAATTAATATTACAATACGGACAGAATGATCAAGATTCTGTTGCAAGTTAACACTGGGTTTGTTTAATATGGCACTCAAAATCTGACAGAAGGCAGTTAAAAGAGTGGCATGCATCAGAAATAAACCAGAATACACAAGTTCTATTAATTAAAAAGAGTTTATTGAAAATATAAAACGTAATGCCTTTCTTTATTATTCAAAATGTCTGAAAGATGGATATCTTTTTTAATGTTTCCAAGTCCTCCAGTAACTTGATAGAATAAATGAAACCACAATTTATTTCACACCTGTGTATTTCTCTGACATGCTCATATTGAATCTGAACCCCTGATGTGTAACGTACTAGAGCATGAAGAGGACTTTGTGGCAAGTTACAGTAGCTTACAAAACACTGCTGGCTAAGCACACTTGGCATGCTTTTCACCTATAGCTACTTAGCTAAAACTAACAGTCCTCATAAATCTATGCTATACAAAATGAAGTTAATAATCCATACAACAGTAGCTGTGTGACTAGCAAAATCGTTTTAATTGGTGAGCTACTGGAAACAAGCCTCTATGCTAACTAGCTGGTAATATATATTCTATCTCTTTGTTTCCATGAATTGCCAGTTGATTGAATGCTTAATTTAACCAAATAAGATTGAAGTAATGCAGTCCACTAATGCTATTAATAATTATGTTAGCTTCAGCTAGTTAAGTAGAGTTACTAGTTGAAGAGGCTGGTTGTCCTTAATTAGCTCAGCTTTGTTTCCATGTAAGCTAGCTAGTCATGAAGTCTGATGCTCTACTCTTATGCATCGCTGATCATAAGGAACATCTGGAATTATTCTTGGGGAAATACTTTTACGTTTTATGTTATCTATATTTATAAGTGGTAAAGAAAACTAATTGTTCTAATTGGAGATTAAAAGAAAAGTATGTAAATCTGTTTTCACACTGCAGTTTAACTGTTTTATGTAGTTAATGTATTCACCTTAGACTTCAGTCTACATTTGTACTGCCTTTTGTACAGTATAAAAAAACATCTCATCTGGATTTTAATTTTATGAGCAGAAGATCTAAAACAGTGACATAATGGTGCTAGCGTGTGTTAAATATATACAGAAGTAGACAGCCCATCAACTTGGCCATCCAGTTCATTGGAACCAAAGTCAGCCAACTTTGTGGCAAAGTCTGTTAAATCGATTGACCTCTCTGAAAACCCTCTGATTGACATGTCATATAAAATGTGAAATAAGACATACCACTTTAACTCTTAATTCAGTTTCCAACTTAGCCGCTAATCACAATGCCCTAAATGTGGTTAGAAGACCAAAGAGGTCATTCTTTTTTCCAAAGTTACATAAGCTTAATGGATGTATGTGTCTGTGAGTTAGAGGAAAGAGAAAAGACCTTAGGGTGCATGTGTTAAAAGTGCATCTGCAGGTTCACGTCCTATGAGTGTGCCTGAGTGTGTTTGTATGAGTGTTTAGGGCCCATGGGACAGTGTTTGAGGAGCATGGAGTGTGCAGCCCACAGCTGGTTTTCCGCTCATTGCTTTGGGAGGTCAGGGGGGTGAGAGGACAGACTTTTAACTACCTACCCTCCTACCACCCGTCCTTCCTTTGACACAGATGGGAGAAAAGGACTGAGGCAGAAGAGGGCCTCGCACCCCCCTGGTTTTGAACTTCACTCACTTTCCCTGCCTCCTTTGTTCCAGCCTACATTTTTATTTTAAATTCTGTGGGCCTCCTGTTTTTCTATCATGATCATCTCTTTTCTCTCAGAGTGGCAGCGTTCTTTGAGGTTTGCTGAGATTGTTTATTTCCGTCAGTGAGTTTCTGACTGATGGGTTTGCTGTGGTTGAGCAGAGTGGTTATGAAATGTGGTGTTTAGAGATCCTTTGGGTTGAGAAATCTACACCTCAGGAGTATTCGATCAAATTGGACTGCTGGGTGCTGTTTGATTTTTCAAAGGAGCTAGAGTTCAGATTGTGGATCTTTTTATTTGTATGCGGTGGTTTTAAATGTGCTGTAGGCTACTGTTTGATTTTTATTTATAGACTCCTTTGGTGGCACTCCCTCCATTTATGGGGTAATTACGAGGATAGATAGAAACTGTGGCCACTTGCCGAAAGGTTGCCACAGGTCAACGTCAAGGTTAATGATATTTTTTTCTAGCTTGTCTTAACCATTGCAGTGGCAAGGTTTTATGTGACCAACTCCCGGCGATAGAGCTCTTAAGACAGCAAAGGGACCAAGGTTGTGTTTAGCTAACCTGCCCAGCAGTGACCTTTCTTAGAGGTGTTTGCAGGCGGCACACTGTGGGATCTGATTTATTAGTAAAACTGGTGAAAAGTGTAAGATGGATTGGCCCTCTCTCAGGAAGTCCAGAGGTTCAGCGGTGCGATGACCGGAGTTTATGTTGCTGCCTTTTTTCTTGGCTCCTAATGCGCCTTCAGAGCCTGAAAGAATGTAAAAAGGTGGCCTGAGGGTTTGAAAAACATGGGAGGGATTTGAGGAAACTCGTCGAGGGAAGAAAAGAAAGGAAAAACACCAAGAAATGAAAAAGATCTTGGCACGCATTTGAGATGAAATGCCCCCTAACATGTTCAAGTCCTGAGCAGCTTCTTTCACAGAGTGCTGTGCGCATTCAAGCAAAAGCCTCTGGAGAACAGGGTGTTTGATGTTCGAGCCTGTTCGAGTTTTTTTTTTATCAAGCTTTCCAATCAATACGCCACCCCTTCCACTTACCTCCACCGACTCCACAAAGACCTGGGAGCAGTATGGGGAACCTAATCTCCAAAACACTTCCCCTTACAGTTCCACGAATTGTCCTTTCAACATTGTGAGAGGTCATTACGCTGGTTTCCTTGGTTGAGGGACAAGCGTCCTGGAGGACCAAGCTTCCCCGCATACTCCAGGTTTTCCAACACCACAGTTGGCTGTGAGTAAGACGTGCTGAAAGGGAGCAGGGAGCGCTGGAATGCACTTGTCCATGCAGAGTCCCCTAAAGGTTATCACTGTGTGTATCTCTGGCTTCAGAGTAACTACTGCATAACTGCAGGGGTGTGTACTGGCTGTGAAATGTGCTTATTGAAAGCTACATTCAAGTGACCCCAATTCAAATGTGGCAGCCTGTCTCCTTTTCCCATCTCCCTCTACAATGAAGTCATGAGGAAAACTATTGGCAACAGACTTGATAATGTTTTACACTATGTGTTTTCGCTGTACGGGAATGCCTGGGACTGACTGTACCCACCAACAGTACCATTGTTTCAGTGTAGGACTGCTTGGAGCCTGGCACAGAGTTACTGGCAGCCAAGGTCTCCGAGTGTCAGCGATCGACCGTGGTGGTTTTACATTCTTTCTCTCACTGGACAGTAGAGAGGCTGCGTCCATTCAATACTGGCCAGAGCAGGCCCCAATTGAGACAGTGACTCTATGCTGTGATTGTTGATGAACTGTCACATGGATACGCCACACACAAGCACACATGGCTATTGTATCACTGCGATCAGGGCATGGATATGTATCTATAGAAACGCACCCACTCATCCACAGTGCACCAAGCTCTCCTGGGTTCCTGTACTCCGTGACTAGAGAATGAATGTGTGATGCCACATACACCGTATACATGTGACACCAAGTCCCCAGAGCTTAAGCTGCTACCATTACCACTACATATTCTGTTGAAGCTGCCTTGGTGCCATAAGAGGCTAAAACTAATATGATGTACAGTGTTCAGTTATTGTTGAGTGTTTAATTCCTCCTTGTATTTAACATATTAGAGTAATGGTTTCATTTACAGGTCCGTAATATCCTAATAATTTCCAAGATCATTTAGTAATTTGGTATATTACAGGGTGACAACTGTCTACTTTTCTTTTAGACATATTTCTGACTTTTGCATTAACAGCTGACTGGCTAGAAGTCTACGTTTATCTTTTTTCAAAGTTAAGATTAGATAGCTACGTTTCCTTACCGCAACCTTTTTTTAAGACTTTTCCTCTGTTATACAGGACATTTTCCATTGAAAAATTCTAGCAGCAGAGGTGATGAAGTTAAACCTATTATAATGAAAATATAAACATTTCACTGTGTACACTTCCATTAAATCATTCCAATGTATGCAAATGTTCCCTAGGGACTCATGTAATGAATGTATGCAGGTATGCACAGAAGGCTTTTCCTGTTTGATTATATAATAAGTTCCAAATAACATAGTTACTTGGGAAATATTCAGAGAATTGTCTGAATTAGTGGCTAGACTACTCTTGTATTTGAACTCCGACTTATCAGAATTATGTTTTAATTGCTAAAGTCACTAAGTTCACAATGAATGTTGACACATTTTTTTATTTGAACTGCCTTCATTGCAAAATATTTGGAAGCAAAGTTGTGAAAACGAATTGATATTGCATCTTTAAATGTCCAGTTGATGTAAGCATCAGTTTGCCTAGCCCACTGTAGGATATGGACCCTGAACTGGGCATCATGCCAGTGTCCAGAATGTTTGGCCGTGTGTGTGGGCCCCTAAAGGACACTATAGAAAAGGCTATTGCAAGGACAGTAAGGCTGGAATTTGGGCTGAGGGTACAGTGTTGGGGCTGTAGAGATAATTGTGTTGGCCCTGTGCTGGTGGGTTGATCACTAACATCCCCCCTCCCTCCCCACCTTCATGAGCCAGATTTCTCCTCCCTTTTCCATAAGAGCTTAATCTACAGTCTGCACCACAGCCAGTGAGGCCTTATCAGCTGTGTCAGAGCCTGCTTGTCAGCTCCAGCCTTGGCTCCTCGCACTGGACAGACCTGCCTGGGTAGATACAAACTAATGTGGACACGCATATGCACAGCCACAAGGCTAGTTCAAGTTCACACTCGGGCCTGAAAGGACTGCAGCAGTCTTTTAGATTCTGACGTTTTAAGGGATACACAATCAATAACAGTGTCAGTGAGTGATTGCTGAATAGGTTCCAAATATTGTTGGCTTGGGACTATTTATAGCCAAGAAATGCCAATCCAGGGACCAATTTCATATGTCTTTGAGAAATAGTCAGATCCATCAAGGAGAGATGTTCCATTCCTACTAGTGGAGCAAAGTGCTAAACAACTCTGTGGTTATGTTTCTGTGGGCACCAATAAATGTGGAACATAATTCTTTGGCACATTTTTTGTATGACTCGGCACTAAAATGATGGTGGACTACTTATATCTGTTAAAGCGGGACTATTCGGTGCCACAGTTCCAATGATCAAACCTAATGGTTGCTTTTAACTACTTGTTTGAATTGTGGTGCAAGTTAACTCACACTGACCTGTGTAGCAGCACAAAAATAATGCATGTGCATATGTTAAAATGGCTGGCATACCCTTTGAACATTTTTCAGACCAGACTGTTTGGGTTTCATTGGCTCCGTTCAGACAAAATGGCATTCATTCCAGCCAATCATAAAGATACGATTCAGAGACTCTGTTTTTATAATCAGAAACTATGGTCTCCTCGTTTTCTCTATTATTTTTCCAATCAAAGCCGCAGTATTTCATTCCCCCTCAGTGTGAAAGATTGTTTTCCTTCAGCAGTGTTGCTCGTGCAATAATGACTGCGACCTCCACGCGTTTCACTTGTATGGAAAACATTTTTCTCCCTCTACTCCTCCATGCACAATTAATTTCAGATGTCACTTGTAGGTGGCTGGTGAATTCCTGAAATACTGGAGTGCTTTTTTTTCCCCCCGCCCAACTGTATTCCAGTAAGTACAAATTGGAGTTCTGTGTGTAAGAAAGAGCGACGGAAATGAAAGGAGACAGACTGAAAACAAGCCTTGTGCTGCCGGAGCCCGACAGAAAGTGAGTTATTCAAACGTACTGGGCTGCTTTTATGAACTGGAAGAGGAAGGATCGCCATCCAAATGCAACACTCAACTTGATTAATGTGCACAAATGACTCAGTGACACTCTGGGAGATGTCAGATGACCATGCCATAGAGGCAGAGAGCAGTAACTGCTTACGTTTTTGGGAGAAAGTTATTCTTTTTTTTGTACTTATTCTTTCAC